GATGGTGTATGATGGTGTAGGGTGGTTATACAGGGAAGGATTGTCAGATGGTGAAGATGGTACAGATGGTGTATGATGGTCGAAATGTGTCGGATGGTTGTCAGATGGTGTATGATGGTGTATGATGGTCGAAGTGTGTCAGATGGTTATCATATGGTGTATGATGGTGTAGGGTGGTTATACAGGGAAGGGTTGTCATATGGTGAAGATGGTACAGATGGTGTATGATGGTCGAAATGTGTCGGATGGTTATCAGATGGTGTATGATGGTCGAAATGTGTCAGATGGTTGTCAGATGGTGTATGATGGTGTAGGGTGGTTATACAGGGAAGAGTTGTCAGATGGTGAAGATGGTACAGATGGTGTATGATGGTCGCGGGGTGTCATTCGGTGTAGGATGCTTATATATATATTAGATATTACATTGGCTATATTTTATTATTACTTACATACACTTTAGCCAACTATAGTATGTGTATAAAAATATAATGTTATATCTAACATTGCGGTTCTCGTGTGGGAAACGTAATTCAAAGTATTTGGCAAAATATATATTTAAACACATTTGACAGACATGTTCGACGTTAATATATTTAAACGCATTTTACAGACATGTTGGAGGTAATAAATAAAAATATAATATGAATATATGATATCTCACAATGCGGTTCGCCTTCTCATGTGGGAAAGGTAATTCAAAGTATTTGGCAAAATATATTTAAACGCATTTGACAGACATGTTCGAGGTAATAAATAAAAATATAAATTATATCATATATTCATATATGATATCTCACAATGCGGTTCTCATGTGGGAAACGTAATTCAAAGTATTGGGCAAAATATCACATTTGACAGACATGTTGGAGGTAATAAAATTGAATTTTGCTGGACTTATCGCGCGGCGTTATGAAGTGATATTCCCTTCAAAATGCAACTGCGATTTTTGTTATGCAACATTGTATTTTGATAAACTAATTTTCTTTAACAAGGCTGTATTTTGGAACACTGTATTATGCAAGCATGCTTGTATCCTGGTATACTGCAATGTGCAAGCTTGTATTTTGGAACATTAAATTGTGTAAGATTGCATTATGGAACATTATATTATGCAAGCTTGTATTATGGAACATTAAATTGTGAAAGCTTTTTTATATTATGCAACATTAAATTGTGAAAGCTTGTATTATGCAACACGCAACGCGCGAGTTGAAACCACGTGTTATCTAGCGCGGGAAGTTTACGATAAAATGGCGGATCAGAGAGTTAATCAAATAACTCCCCTTATTTGCCATTCTATAGTCAGTTTGATTCATCAACTGGAAGCTTGCAACGGCGATTCAGATTCTCTGGATTCCATTTCGTATAGAGTTGATTGGCTCTACGGAATTGTCGTACGTTATTCGGCTGTTTTCCCAGGTTTATTTAGTGAACAAGTGGTCGAACTTGTACGTGCCGCAAAAGATATTTTATTAACAGCATTAAGCGGTGCTGAAAACCACTCATTTCATGTCGAGCAATTAGCAACTGGAGCACGCGGACGCCCAAAATTCAATATTACCAAGGAGCAACTTCAATTTCTCTTGGAGAGAGGTTTCTCTGGCCCAGACATAGCACAAACGCTCGGTGTTAGCTTGAGCACCATCGAAAGACGTTTACGTGAGTTTCGCATTCCCGCAAGATCGTTTTATTCCGTTATCGATGATGAAACTCTTGACAGAACAATTAGAGACATTTCGAGAAGTTTTCCATCAGCTGGATATCGCAGAATGACCGGATTTTTGCTGAGCCGAGGGATTAAAGTACAACAAGAAAGAATTAGAGAATCTATGTGGAGGGTTGACCCGGAAGGGGTACTTATTCGTTCGTTAGAATTATCTACAGTAAATCGAAGAAGATACCAAGTTTACGCACCGCTTGCGTTATGGCATATCGATGGCAATCACAAACTTATCCGGTACGTCGAGTGAAATTATAGCGTGATATGATAATAAAATTAATGAAGATAATTATCATTTAAGCCAGTGTACTCAAAAAATTATATTGATTAGGATGGTGTAGACACTGCACCCGGGCCATTCCATTTAATATCAACCCCACACCCACACCATTGATGAGGTAAGTAAAATTTTAATCCCTAAGAAAGAAGATTAAAGGGCAAAAAAAAAACCCTCAGAAATTTGTAAATTTTTCTCCTTATATCCCTCAGAAAAATCGCAGATATCGAAGGATACCACCAACTTAATCCATCTGAAATGACTTTGAGGTCACCCTTCAGAAAATTTAGTCCATGGGGGGGGGAAGGACCTTAAATGGAATGGCCCCCACTAGGTGTATAATTACTACAGCTTTGTAGTATTATAAATTTGAATGTACTCTACATCTGTCTCTACATCTTCAACATTTTAGATGGCGCATTGTGATCCATGGAGCAATAGATGGCTATTCTCGTTTGATTGTTTTTTTAAAAGCCAGCAATAACAATAAAGCTGTTACAGTTTGTCAATTGTTCATTGAAAGCGTTAGTAAGTTTGGTCTTCCATCAAGAGTTCGTTCCGATAAAGGGGGAGAAAACGTCGATGTTGCTAGATACATGTTGAGCCATCCATTACGTGGGCCAGATAGAGGAAGCCATATCACTGGCAGAAGCGTTCACAACCAAAGAATCGAGCGATTATGGAGAGATGTCTTCTTTGGTTGTACAGGTCTATATTATGATTTGTTTTCCTGCATGGAAGTGTCTGGTATGTTAGATCCTTGTAATGAAGTGGATATGTATGCACTGCATTACGTATTTCTGCCCAGAATCAACAGGAATCTTGATGAATTTGCGGCAGCACATAGTCGAGCACCGATAAGCACAGAAAGGAACAAGTCCCCTGTACAGCTTTGGATTCAGGGATTATCAAATGTTTGTAATAGTGAACACTGTGTAGCTGAGGAGTAGCTGAGGAGTTGTCACTGGTAAGTAATGTTCTGCAATTGCTAATACATGCAGTATATAGAATGTATAAAACTAAAAGAAGATTATGCAGCAGAATACATTTTAGCAACTATTTGATATAGTCGTGCAATTCAACCAATACGCTCCAACACCGGGTGCTATAGAGACAATTACTGTATGGCCTAATATATTGCAAGTATAGCTGGAGACATAACTGGGAAAGAGGTCGAGCTACAAATTATTGCATGGATAAATACAAGAGATAGAAAGGGACTTGCGGCAATTGCTATAAAGCGTTTTTTGAAACATTACCAATCTGTAAAAATCATATATTTGTATTTTGCTTGACTTTGACAGTCTACGGAAGATTTGGCCTGGTATGGGATCGACTGGGATGGCCCTGCACCATTTGTTCGATGGGATGGGCCAAATGATGGTGACCCACCTGTGGAAATACCAGAAGTTCCAGACATCTTAATTCATAATGATTATGAACAGTTACTGAACACGGTCGACCCACTTCGTCAATCCAATGATAATGGTGTGGATATGTTTATTGCAACAAAAAACTTTGTGCTCCAATGCATTGAAAGGTACTAGTGTTTTTACTATATGACTATGATTAAAGTTTATAATTACTAAACTTTATTATCATGGATTTTGGGAAGCTAAAAATCTGTTGTTACTATTAAAGCTAAGGCCATTGGCGTATATGCTACTTTGGGCTAAAAAAGCAAACCATAATATACAATGAACACAAACGAGAATTCTTGTCAATTTAGAAAATTACATGTATATGTAAGTTCTGCTAAATGCACTAAATTCAAAAGAAACACAACTGTTAACTATTTGTACTTTTCATACAATAAAATGTTTTACTCTGTTATCTGTATTTCACGGTAAGTACTGTCATTTTACTATAATGCATTAACTTCAAAAACGTGGCAATGTGGATATCAAATAGTCAATTGCAGAACACCTATCGATATCTAAATTTCTACATGAATGTCAACAGCAGTATTTCTCATAAACATTGAGAATTAACGATTTAACGTTACCGAGATGGCGAGAAACATTTACCGAGAAATATTAATAAAATATGAGACAAATAAATATAAAATCTCTTTATATGCAGATTTACAATTATACAAAATACCTGTGGGAAAACAACTGAAATATAACTTGTACTGTGTGCGTACGAGTTTATACCTTCTTAAACTATTATGGTGTTTTCACACTTATATGACCTGAAAATATTTTTCTGTGACCTAAATGGACACATTTTGTATAAGTGAAAATATCTGAACAATAACCGTAAATGTCGTCAAAGGAAGTTACTAATTTGGGATTATTTTGATAGGGATTCTGCAATTGCTCCCAAAAACGGAAAAAAAATGAATGTAATAAATTTTAACATTTTAACAACAACTTTTAAAATATTATATCAGTCTTGTTGGTCTTGTAGTGTACCTACAGTAAACCATTCAGAACAAATTTACTTCATGCGAATCCAAATCCAGTGCTTTCCATAATTAAAGCCTGGTTCATAAAAAATCTGAATTTTTCATAATTCTGATGCTTGGCCGGTAGTTGCAATTCCATAACACATGTATTTGCCACTGGGAAAACTGCCGTACTATCTTCTGATACAGCAATATGTTCTGGATCAGTAAATCCAAGTGGAGGAACTTTTTCACACGCAGTTGTAAACGACAAGAGATAGGGTATTCTTTCAGCTGTTTAAAAAAAATTAGCAAAACGTCTAAAACTGTCTAAACATCATATTTTTGTACAGATAAACACATTTGTGCTTGATCAAAAGGCAAATTTCACACTGCCTGGCCTAGATGGAGTGTTTATATGGGAGCTCATGTAATTCGCCCTTAACCCATTGAGTTGCATTACACCCTGGAAAAGTCAAATCCCTCACCTTTTATATTTGAACCATACTGACTGCAAATCCACTATGCTTTTTTCTCCGAATTTAGCAATGAGGGCATAATTAAAATTTTAATGGAAGACTGATGCATACTTACCTTCATCATGCACATACTGTGTGAAGTAATCTACAACCCTAGGACTAACACCATCTATTTTTACAATGGCCATGAATGCATCAGGTGTCATTGTGTCCGCACCATCATCACTGTGAACAAATAGAGGACTAAGCAGATCTGGATATTTCCTTGCCAGTGTAAGTAGTTGCCCCAGTCCAGTTGCCAGCTGGTCAATTTCACTTTTTCGGACTGTTATTACATGATGAAGATACATGCAGGCTATAGCCTGCATTTTATTCTCAATAGTTAGGGTATGAGGGAACCCAGCTTCTACCAAGAGGTGCTGAGTTTCAATGGCAATTGAATTTATTGTTTCAGCATTTGCATGGTCAATCTGTTTTTAAAAAGAGAGGAAAGGATATGCACTCAGGTGAATATGATGTTTCTGATGTTACTCTTGAGTGTGGATACACACCATGCAGGCATGCTGAGAGTATAGTGTCCGGCGGTGGACACGTGACTTTGCGAAGATGGGAACAGTTTGCATGTGAACTGGTTGTTATATGCATGGCAGACTTTATATTTATAAATACACATTCAGAGAAATAAAAGGAATACAATAAAGAGTTACATAGAAAAACTTTAAAATAGTTTAACTGTATCGTAGGTATTATTCTACTAAACACTATCCAAACAAAACTCATGTAAGCAATCTTTAAATTTTTTTAATGATTTTTTTTTTATTATCACTTTAAATCTATGAAATTTCAGTGCAGAAAATAAGAATTTATATTACCTTATCAATTGCTTGAGATGCATCAATGTCAAATATGTCATCTTTGTTAATGATTGATACTAATTCCTCTGTGAATCCTTTCACAAGGTATTCATAAACAGGGGGCGATAGACATGGAAAACCGGGTCCACCATTGACAATAGAGGTACTAATCATTCTTCCTGCAATCTTGAAGAGCTGCCCGCGTAAGGCATCAGTGTTTTTCATCGGAAGTAACCTGCCTTCTTTTCCTTCAAAAAGCCTGATAGAACTTTTACATGATACAAGACTTTTCAGTAACATGGTAAAATACTCCCTTCTGGGTCCTCCAGCGTCAATTGCAGGCTCGCCCTCAAAACGTACTCGGACTTGATAAGAACAATTGTAATCATGTTTCTTGAAGTGAATTATACTATCTTCCAGAATATTTTCCCTAGATACTGAAATACGCTTTAAATTTGTTCCATCACCAGGTACTAAACTCCTCAACAAACTTGAAAGAGATGGTTTGGCATTTTTATCATAAATCATTTCTTCATCTATAAATAATAAAACATAAATTGTCCAGTAATAAATTGTTACATATACACCAAATGAAACATTTTTTTTAAAAAACTTTTTGATTGTTATTCTGCTGAGATCTAACAAAACTATAACAAATCTTGTAACTTGATTTCCTTTAAGCAGGTCACTCTTAATACTAGCTGAGATAAATAGAGAAGTACTTGTTGGCATATTTGAATAAATTTAATTTTATTTTATTATAATTAAAAATAATAATTTACTTGACAGTCATGGACAAAAGTTTAAATACGCCTGTGTTCTAAAAGCTCACTCGAACTCAAGGAGTGGAGGTTCAATCTGAGATTCCTTTGAGTTGTCAATTCCGTTTTTTTGAATAGCTGCATGGGGATGAGTAGTATAAAGTACAGGGTACATGTACCACTAACTCTCCAGCTATTCAAAAACAGCAATGACACTCAAGAGAAGTTCAGATTGAACCTCCGCCCATCGAGTGTTAGTGAGCTTTTAGAATACAAGTGCAAGACCACTTGGAGTACTTTATTGAAAAAAATTCCATTTATAGAAGTTACAATTTCCATTTATTGAATATTAATTTTTCATTTATAGAAGTGCCTGTTTTCTTGGATGTAATATTGCTTATTATAAACGAGAAATACTTGCCATTTCCCCCTGGGATTTTTTCAAGTAGACCATCAATGGCATCATCAACAGATAAATAACGTTCTGATGCCTCTCTTAATTCATCGTTTGATAATTGCGGGAATATTGGTCGCAGCTGATCAACCATAGATGTTGATAAATTGGAAGTTTCTGGATTTTTGGAACTTACTACTTCATCTGCCACAACTTCCTCAACTATCACAACCTCATCACTACCCGTTGTAGGCTAGTTAGAGATAAAATTATTTAAAAAATGATGCACTTATATGTAAACTCAGAAGAAATACGGCAACAGGGTACACACACTGCAATACACAGTGAACAGCTTTTGAACAAATTGAGGGTTATCGTGAACAGATTTTAATTAACAAAAAGAAACCATGGGTAACCAAACAGGTAGATAGTTTCATTGTCTCAGTATTTAAGTCATGTGCATTTACAGTTGACATGTCGACATTCATGTACACACGTAAAAACGCACAGCTTGTAACAAGTCTGCAAACAAGTTGTTACAAGTCTGTTCACAAGCTGTCAACAAGTTGTGTTCACACTGCTTATTCCCAGTTTGTTGTAACAAGTTTGGAACAAGCTGTTAACAACTTGTAACAAGCTTGATGGCATTATCAGCATTGTTACAATACTGCGCTAACATTAAGTTTGTTACAACCATGATATAACAAGGATGTTACAAGGTTGTCAACACAAGGTTGTAACAATCTTGTTATATCAAGCATGTAACGGACTTGTCAGAACAACCTTGCAACAAGTCTGATAATTTCGACAAGGTTGTTACAAGTTGTCAACAAGTTGTTCCAAACCTGTTGACAATTAACTTGTGACAAGCAGTGCGAATATATCTTGTTGATGGCTTGTTGGCAGACTTGTTACAAGACGTGAGATTTTTACGTGTGTATACGGATGAAACAGACTGTTGTATTTTTTTGAGGTATATATATATATATATATATATATATATATATATATATATATATATATATATATATATATATATATATATATATATATGTATATCCCTTACCAGACTGACAGATATGTGACAGATATATGTCACAGTTCTGTAAAATATCTGCAAAATATATGTATGAAAGTATCTGTCACATATCTGCAACATATAGGAATTTGGCCCCATAACATATCTGTCACAGTTATGTGACAGATATCTGTCACAGTTATGTGGCAGATATCTGTCACAGTTATATGACAGATATCTGTCACATATCTGCAACATATAGGAATTTGGCCCAATAACATATCTGTCACAGTTATGTGACAGTATAGTTTCCCTGCAGATAAAAGTATCTGTATATTATCTACCAAACAGGTATGTCACAGAACTGCCACCAAGTGAGATTTATCTCTTGCATAAAACTATTTCCTCTTACTTCTGCAACATCACGTTGCTGCAACTGTACCTCTGTCATGTTCACTTGAAGCCATAAATAATTTAATACGAAGAAATATTAGATCAGGATAGTAAATGTATTTATTAGTAAATATATAATTATGATAGGTTACACATATAGATAAATTTAAGACTGTACAATCAATTTTTCTCCAGGGGCCAGTTGTTCAAGGGTGGATTAGCTTAACCCTAGGTTAACCTAAACTTCAGAGCAAACTTCCTGATAGCTTGTTTATAAATTTGGAAATATTTCTTCAGAGATCTTGTCTGGATCAATAGGAGTTTTCTTCTTTGAAGTTTTGAAATAAACAGGCGTGTAGAAATACACAAACTAAAACAGCAGGCAATTTTAACCCAGGGTTAGCGCTAGTCCAGTATTGAACAACCAGCCCCTGGGGCAGAGTAATTACACTTACTATAACCTACACTTATTTAAAATTTCCTAATATTATATTTATATACATGGCCAGCAATAAATAATGAGTACCTAAAAGTCATTAATTGTTAATGTCAAGTCTCACTCAGCTGGTTTGCTTTTAGTTCAAGCCCCACAGCATTTGTCATGTACCATGTACTGTATAGCAGCTGTCTTTCCATAGATTGTATCATCCAGAACAAAAGCTGAAAAAATAGGAATTGATAAAATCAGATTTATTTAATATGTTTTAGATTTAATTGGCATTGAGACATCAAGAATAAT